AAAACACCTATATTTGTCAGTTTTTAAATATCTAAGTTAATTATTTCATTGTGTTTCTTTTTATTTACTGATTTATTTCTTATTAATGCCTGATCTGCAAGACTACGCACAAAGTAGTTTCAATTTTGATTATTTCAATTTATAAAACCACATTTCTATTCCTTCAACATTTTAAACGACTGATGTGACAGACTAGTTGACGCACCTTTTCGAAAAAAAAAACCCTCTTTTCTCGAAAGGGTGTGCCAAGACGGTCCTCCGTTCTCAACGCACCCTTTCGAGAAAAGCGTGGGGCCTTTTATCGAATGGGTGCGTTGAACTCACCACACCGCGCCGCACCGCACCGCACCCTTTCGATGTAAGCCTCTAGAACCGCCCTCAGCTACTGGAACCCGTTACTCAAACCACTAAAGACATAACTTCCACCCTGCGATATTTACTTAATAGATGTTGATAAATGATATGAATGTTAGATATTTAAATCATCAGTCTAGGCCAGGGTTTCGCTTATCTTTCTTGAAAGTGGCAAAGTTTGAAAGAATATTGCCAGGATAAGAACACGGTTTTATCAATGTCATTTAGATCAGTTTCCAAAGATCACATGACAGCGCTATCAAGATGGACGTTAACAGTTTTTTCTCGTGCTGGATCTTGCGCTTTGGAATAATATCGATCTTACTCATCGGCAGTCAAAACGTTGAATCGACGGAAAGTAAAGGTATTCAAACAAATATGATTGCATTTTTTTATTTACAGTGTTTTAATTGATGGTCTTTAGAGTAATCTCATTGTTTCTAATAACAAAAGTCACGGCGTTGAATGTTGTATTAAATCAATACTATTCAAAATAATCTCAGTTTAACTTCTAGGTAATCACAACGTTGAATCGAAAGAAAAAAAACGGTAATGATTTTTCCGAAAAACCCCCCTCTTTTCTCAAAAAGGTGTGCCAAGACGGTCCTCCGTTCTCAACGCACCCTTTCGAGAAAAGCGTGGGGCCTTTTATCGAATGGGTGCGTTGAACTCATCACACCGCGCCGCACCGCACCGCACCCTTTCGATGTAAGCCTCTAGAACCGCCCTCAGCTACTGGAACCCGTTACTCAAACCACTAAAGACATAACTTCCACCCTGCGATATTTACTTAATAGATGTTGATAAATGATATGAATGTTAGATATTTAAATCATCAGTCTAGGCCAAGGGTTCGCTTATCTTTCTTGAAAGTGGCAAAGTTTGAAAGAATATTGCCGGGATAAGTACACGGTTTTATCAATGTCATTAAGATCAATTTCCAAAGACCTCATGACAGCGCTATCACGATGGACGTTAGCAAATCTTTCTCGTGCTGGATCTTGCGCTTTGGAATAATATCGATCTTACTCATTGGCAGTCAAAACGTTGAATCGACGGAAAGTAAAGGTATTCAAACAAATATGATTGCATTTTTTTATTTACAGTGTTTTAATTGATGGTCTTTAGAGTTATCTCATTGTTTCTAATAACAAAAGTCACGGCGTTGAATGTTGTATTAAATCAATACTATTTAAAATAATCTCAGTTTAACTTCTAGGTAATCACAACGATGAATCGAAAAAGAAAGACGGTAATGATTTTTTTCGAAAAACCCCCCTCTTTTCTCGAAAGGGTGTGCCAAGACGGTCCTCCGTTCTCAACGCACCCTTTCGAGAAAAGCGTGGGGCCTTTTATCGAATGGGTGCTTTGAACTCTCCACACCGCGCCGCACCGCACCCTTTCGATGTAAGCCTCTAGAACCGCCCTCAGCTAGTTAGACTATGGAACCCGTTACTCAACCACTAAAGACATAACTTCCACCCTGCGATATTTACTTAATAGATGTTGATAAATGATATGAATGTTAGATATTTAAATCATCAGTCTAGGCCAAGGGTTCGCTTATCTTTCATGAAAGTGGCAAAGTTTGAAAGAATATTGCCGGAATAAGTACACGGTTTTATCAATGTCATTAAGATCAATTTCCAAAGACCTCATGACAGCGCTATCACGATGGACGTTAGCAAATCTTTCTCGTGCTGGATCTTGCGCTTTGGAATAATATCGATCTTACTCATTGGCAGTCAAAACGTTGAATCGACGGAAAGTAAAGGTATTCGAACAAATATGATTGCATTTTTTTATTTACAGTGTTTTAATTGATGGTCTTTAGAGTTATCTCATTGTTTCTAATAACAAAAGTCACGGCGTTGAATGTTGTATTAAATCAATACTATTTAAAATAATCTCAGTTTAACTTCTAGGTAATCACAACGTTGAATCGAAAAAGAAAGACGGTAATGATTTTTTTCGAAAAACCCCCCTCTTTTCTCGAAAGGGTGTGCCAAGACGGTCCTCCGTTCTCAACGCACCCTTTCGAGAAAAGCGTGGGGCCTTTTATCGAATGGGTGCTTTGAACTCTCCACACCGCGCCGCACCGCACCCTTTCGATGTAAGCCTCTAGAACCGCCCTCAGCTAGTTAGACTATGGAACCCGTTACTCAACCACTAAAGACATAACTTCCACCCTGCGATATTTACTTAATAGATGTTGATAAATGATATGAATGTTAGATATTTAAATCATCAGTCTAGGCCAAGGGTTCGCTTATCTTTCTTGAAAGTGGCAAAGTTTGAAAGAATATTGCCGGGATAAGTACACGGTTTTATCAATGTCATTAAGATCAATTTCCAAAGACCTCGTGACAGCGCTATCACGATGGACGTTAGCAAATCTTTCTCGTGCTGGATCTTTCGCTTTGGAATAATATCGATCTTACTCATTGGCAGTCAAAACGTTGAATCGACGGAAAGTAAAGGTATTCAAACAAATATGATTGCATTTTTTTATTTACAGTGTTTTAATTGATGGTCTTTAGAGTTATCTCATTGTTTCTAATAACAAAAGTCACGGCGTTGAATGTTGTATTAAATCAATACTATTTAAAATAATCTCAGTTTAACTTCTAGGTAATCACAACGTTGAATCGAAAAAGAAAGACGGTAATGATTTTTTTCGAAAAAACCCCCTCTTTTCTCGAAAGGGTGTGCCAAGACGGTCCTCCGTTCTCAACGCACCCTTTCGAGAAAAGCGTGGGGCCTTTTATCGAATGGGTGCTTTGAACTCTCCACACCGCGCCGCACCGCACCCTTTCGATGTAAGCCTCTAGAACCGCCCTCAGCTAGTTAGACTATGGAACCCGTTACTCAACCACTAAAGACATAACTTCCACCCTGCGATATTTACTTAATAGATGTTGATAAATGATATGAATGTTAGATATTTAAATCATCAGTCTAGGCCAAGGGTTCGCTTATCTTTCTTGAAAGTGGCAAAGTTTGAAAGAATATTGCCGGGATAAGTACACGGTTTTATCAATGTCATTAAGATCAATTTCCAAAGACCTCGTGACAGCGCTATCACGATGGACGTTAGCAAATCTTTCTCGTGCTGGATCTTTCGCTTTGGAATAATATCGATCTTACTCATTGGCAGTCAAAACGTTGAATCGACGGAAAGTAAAGGTATTCAAACAAATATGATTGCATTTTTTTATTTACAGTGTTTTAATTGATGGTCTTTAGAGTTATCTCATTGTTTCTAATAACAAAAGTCACGGCGTTGAATGTTGTATTAAATCAATACTATTTAAAATAATCTCAGTTTAACTTCTAGGTAATCACAACGTTGAATCGAAAAAGAAAGACGGTAATGATTTTTTTCGAAAAACCCCCCTCTTTTCTCGAAAGGGTGTGCCAAGACGGTCCTCCGTTCTCAACGCACCCTTTCGAGAAAAGCGTGGGGCCTTTTATCGAATGGGTGCTTTGAACTCTCCACACCGCGCCGCACCGCACCCTTTCGATGTAAGCCTCTAGAACCGCCCTCAGCTAGTTAGACTATGGAACCCGTTACTTAACCACTAAAGACATAACTTCCACCCTGCGATATTTACTTAATAGATGTTGATAAATGATATGAATGTTAGATATTTAAATCATCAGTCTAGGCCAAGGGTTCGCTTATCTTTCTTGAAAGTGGCAAAGTTTGAAAGAATATTCCCGGGATAAGTACACGGTTTTATCAATGTCATTAAGATCAATTTCCAAAGACCTCGTGACAGCGCTATCACGATGGACGTTAGCAAATCTTTCTCGTGCTGGATCTTGCGCTTTGGAATAATATCGATCTTACTCATTGGCAGTCAAAACGTTGAATCGACGGAAAGTAAAGGTATTCAAACAAATATGATTGCATTTTTTTATTTACAGTGTTTTAATTGATGGTCTTTAAAGTAATATCATTGTTTCTAATAACAAAAGTCACGGCGTTGAATCGAAGCATAATGAAGTTATTGAAACATTGATAAATTCATTCAACATTGTATTAAATCAATACTCTTTAAAATAATCTCAGTTTAACTTCTAGGTAATCACAACGTTGAATCGAAACAGAAAGACGGTAATGATAGAGAAATATGAGTGCATTTGATATCTTTATATTTCTTAGACTAAAAGTCTTTGGTAAAATCTCAATGTTTTTAAATGGAAGTGCTAAGACAACGTTAATTTGATTCCGAAGGAATTTTTGAAATATAACGTGTAATCAATTCATTTTATTTGTATATTTAAAATCAATAATCTTTGGCATAATCTTAATGTTACTCCTATAATTTAACAACATTAAATTAAGTCTAATTGACTGCAATGGAATGAAAACATTTTAAAATAATGTTATCATGTTATCCTTTTATTCAAAAGATTTTGAATCAATCTCAATTACCTTCTTAGAAAATGTAACACTGTGGAATGGAAGTACTACTACAAAAATCACAGAACAAATTACTCTGACAGAGCTAGAAACAACACAAGGGCCCACCACTTTTAATTATCATACCACTCCTAAACCAAAAAACCCAGAACAAACTACTCCAACAGAGCAAGAAGTAATACAACAGCCTACTATTTCTGTTTCTCCTATCTCTACAATGACTTCACAAACTACCACAAAACAAACCATTCCCACAGAGCCGGAAATAGCGCAGGAACCTAAAACTTGTGTTTGTTATACCACTCCATTAAAAACAACCCTAGAACAAACAACTTTAACAAAGCAGGATACAACACAGGAGACAACACAGAAGCCTACCCCTTCTGATTTTCCTACCACTTCAACTACATCAAAAACAACCCTAGAACAAACAACTTCAACAGAGCCGGAGACGACACAGGAGACAACACAGGAGTTTACCACTTCTGATTCTCCTACTACTTCAACTACATCAACAACAACCCAAGAACAAACAACTTCGACAGAGCCGGAGACAACACAAGAGACAACACAGGAGTTTACCACTTCTGATTCTCCTACCACTTCAACTACATCAACACAAACCCAAGAACAAACAACTTAAACTGAGCCGGAGACAACACAGGAGACAACACATGAGCCTACCTCTTCTGAAACTCCGACTACCCCAGCGTCCTCACAAACAACCCTGGAACAGACATCTCCAAAAGAGCCGGAATCAACGCAGGATACTACCACCCATAATTTCCCTATCACTACAACGACTTCAAAATCTACCCCCCCCCCCAGCAAAATACTTCTACAGAACCGGAAACAACGAAGGGGCCTACCATTTGTGTTTGTTATACCACTCCAATGGTAACGACCCAAGAACAAACTACTTCAACAGAGCCGGAGACAAAACAGGAGACAACACAGGAGCCTCTCTCTTTGTAGTCTCCTACCACTTCAACTACATCGACAACAACCCAAGAACAAACAACTTCAACTGAGCCGGAGACATCACTGGAGACAACACAGGAGTTTACCACATCTGATTCTCCTACCACTTCAACTACATCAACAACAACCCAAGAACAAACAACTTCAACAGAGCCGGAGACAACACAGGAGACAACACATTAGCCTACCTCTTCTGAAACTCCGACTACCCCAACGTCCTCACAAACAACCCTGGAACAGACATCTCCTAAAGAGCCGGAATCAACGCATGATACTACCTCCTATGATTCCCCTATCACTACAACGAATTCAAAATCTACCCCCCCCCCCAACAAACTACTTCTACAGAACCGGAAAAAACGCAGGAGCCTACCATTTGTGGTTGTTATACCACTACATCGACAACAACCCAAGAACAAACAACTTCAACAGAGCCGGAGACAACACAGGAGACAACACATGAGCCTACCTCTTCTGAAACTCCGACTACCCCAACGTCGTCACAAACAACCCAAGAACAAACAAGTTCAACAGAGCCGGAGACAACACAGGAGACAACACAGGAGTTTACCACTTCTGAATCTCCTACCACTTCAACTACACCAACAACAACCCCAGAACAAACAACTTCAACAGAGCCGGAGACAACACAAGATACAACACAGGAGTTTACCACTTCTGATTCTCCGACCACTTCAACTACATCAACAACAACCAAAGAAAAAACAACTTCGACAGAGCCAGAGACAACACAGGATACAATTACACAGGAGTTTACCACTTCTGATTCTCCTACCACTTCAACTTCATCAAAAACAACCCCAGGACAAACTACTTCAACAGAGTCGGAGACAACACAGGAGACAACACATTAGCCTACCTCTTCTGATTCTCCTACCACTTCAACTACTCAACAACAACCCCAGAACAAACAATTTCAACACAGCCGGAGACAACACAAGAGACAACACAGGAGTTTACCACTTCTGATTCTCCGACCACTTCAACTACATCAAAAACAACCTCAGGACAAACTACTTCAACAGGGCCGGAGACAAAACAGGAGACAACACAGGAGCCTCTCTCTTTTTATTCTCCTACCACTTCAACTACATCAACAACAACCCAAGAACAAACAACTTCAACAGAGCCGGAGACAACACAGGAGACAACACATGAGCCTACCTCTTCTGAAACTCCGACTACCCCAACGTCCTCACAAACAACCCTGGAACAGACATCTCCAAAAGGGCCGGAATCAACGCAGGATACTACCACCTTTGATTCCCCTATCACTACAACGACTTCAAAATCTACCCCCCAACAAACTACTTCTACAGAACCAGAAACAACGCAGGAGCCTACCATTTGTGGTTGTTATACCACTCCAATGGTAACGACCCAAGAACAAACTACTTCAACAGGGCCGGAGACAAAACGGGAGACAACACAGAAGCCTATCTCTTCTGATTCTCCTACCACTTCAACTACATCGACAACAACCCAAGAACAAACAACTTCAACAGAGCCGGAGACAACACAAGAGACAACACAGGAGTTTACCACTTCTGATTCTCCGACCACTTCAACTACATCAACAACAACCAAAGAACAAACAACTTCAACAGAGCCAGAGACAACATAGGAGACAACACAGGAGTTTACCACTTCTGATTCTCCTACCACTTCAACTACATCAAAAACAACCCCAGGACAAACAACTTCAACAGAGTCGGAGACAACACAGGAGACAACACATTAGCCTACCTCTTCTGATTCTCCTACCACTTCAACTACTCAACAACAACCCCAGAACAAACAATTTCAACAGAGCCGGAGACAACACAAGGGCCCACCACAGGAGTTTACCACTTCTGATTCTCCGACCACTTCAACTACATCAACAACAAACAAAGAAAAAACAACTTCAACAGAGCCAGAGACAACACAGGAGACAACACAGGAGTTTACCACTTCTGATTCTCCTACCACTTCAACTACATCAAAAACAACCCCAGGACAAACAAATTCAACAGAGTCGGAGACAACACAGGAGACAACACATTAGCCTACCTCTTCTGATTCTCCTACCACTTCAACTACTCAACAACAACCCCAGAACAAACAATTTCAACAGAGCCGGAGACAACACAAGAAACAACACAGGAGTTTACCACTTCTGATTCTCCGACCACTTCAACTGCATCAACAACAACCAAAGATCAAACAACTTCAACAGAGCCAGAGACAACACAGGAGACAACACAGGAGTTTACCACTTTTGATTCTCCTACCACTTCAACTACATCAAAAACAACCCCAGGACAAACTACTTCAACAGGGCCGGAGACAAAACAGGAGACAACACAGGAACCTCTCTCTTTTTATTCTCCTACCACTTCAACTACATCGACAACAACCCAAGAACAAACAACTTAAACTGAGCCGGAGACATCACTAGAGACAACACAGGAGTTTACCACATCTGATTCTCCTACCACTTCAACTACATCAACAACAACCCAAGAACAAACAACTTCAACAGAGCCGGAGACAACACAGGAGACAACACATGAGCCTACCTCTTCTGAAACTCCGACTACCCCAACGTCCTCACAAACAACCCTGGAACAGACATTTCCAAAAGAGCCGGAATCAACGCATGATACTACCTCCTATGATTCCCCTATCACTACAACGAATTCAAAATCTACCCCCCCCCCAACAAACTACTTCTACAGAACCGGAAAAAACGCAGGAGCCTACCATTTGTGGTTGTTATACCACTACATCGACAACAACCCAAGAACAAACAACTTCAACAGAGCCGGAGACAACACAGGAGACAACACATGAGCCTACCTCTTCTGAAACTCCGACTACCCCAACGTCGTCACAAACAACCCAAGAACAAACAAGTTCAACAGAGCCGGAGACAACACAGGAGACAACACAGGAGTTTACCACTTCTGAATCTCCTACCACTTCAACTACACCAACAACAACCCCAGAACAAACAACTTCAACAGAGCCGGAGACAACACAAGATACAACACAGGAGTTTACCACTTCTGATTCTCCGACCACTTCAACTACATCAACAACAACCAAAGAAAAAACAACTTCGACAGAGCCAGAGACAACACAGGATACAATTACACAGGAGTTTACCACTTCTGATTCTCCTACCACTTCAACTTCATCAAAAACAACCCCAGGACAAACTACTTCAACAGAGTCGGAGACAACACAGGAGACAACACATTAGCCTACCTCTTCTGATTCTCCTACCACTTCAACTACTCAACAACAACCCCAGAACAAACAATTTCAACACAGCCGGAGACAACACAAGAGACAACACAGGAGTTTACCACTTCTGATTCTCCGACCACTTCAACTACATCAAAAACAACCTCAGGACAAACTACTTCAACAGGGCCGGAGACAAAACAGGAGACAACACAGGAGCCTCTCTCTTTTTATTCTCCTACCACTTCAACTACATCAACAACAACCCAAGAACAAACAACTTCAACAGAGCCGGAGACAACACAGGAGACAACACATGAGCCTACCTCTTCTGAAACTCCGACTACCCCAACGTCCTCACAAACAACCCTGGAACAGACATTTCCAAAAGAGCCGGAATCAACGCATGATACTACCTCCTATGATTCCCCTATCACTACAACGAATTCAAAATCTACCCCCCCCCCAACAAACTACTTCTACAGAACCGGAAAAAACGCAGGAGCCTACCATTTGTGGTTGTTATACCACTACATCGACAACAACCCAAGAACAAACAACTTCAACAGAGCCGGAGACAACACAGGAGACAACACATGAGCCTACCTCTTCTGAAACTCCGACTACCCCAACGTCGTCACAAACAACCCAAGAACAAACAAGTTCAACAGAGCCGGAGACAACACAGGAGACAACACAGGAGTTTACCACTTCTGAATCTCCTACCACTTCAACTACACCAACAACAACCCCAGAACAAACAACTTCAACAGAGCCGGAGACAACACAAGATACAACACAGGAGTTTACCACTTCTGATTCTCCGACCACTTCAACTACATCAACAACAACCAAAGAAAAAACAACTTCGACAGAGCCAGAGACAACACAGGATACAATTACACAGGAGTTTACCACTTCTGATTCTCCTACCACTTCAACTTCATCAAAAACAACCCCAGGACAAACTACTTCAACAGAGTCGGAGACAACACAGGAGACAACACATTAGCCTACCTCTTCTGATTCTCCTACCACTTCAACTACTCAACAACAACCCCAGAACAAACAATTTCAACACAGCCGGAGACAACACAAGAGACAACACAGGAGTTTACCACTTCTGATTCTCCGACCACTTCAACTACATCAAAAACAACCTCAGGACAAACTACTTCAACAGGGCCGGAGACAAAACAGGAGACAACACAGGAGCCTCTCTCTTTTTATTCTCCTACCACTTCAACTACATCAACAACAACCCAAGAACAAACAACTTCAACAGAGCCGGAGACAACACAGGAGACAACACATGAGCCTACCTCTTCTGAAACTCCGACTACCCCAACGTCCTCACAAACAACCCTGGAACAGACATCTCCAAAAGGGCCGGAATCAACGCAGGATACTACCACCTTTGATTCCCCTATCACTACAACGACTTCAAAATCTACCCCCCAACAAACTACTTCTACAGAACCAGAAACAACGCAGGAGCCTACCATTTGTGGTTGTTATACCACTCCAATGGTAACGACCCAAGAACAAACTACTTCAACAGGGCCGGAGACAAAACGGGAGACAACACAGAAGCCTATCTCTTCTGATTCTCCTACCACTTCAACTACATCGACAACAACCCAAGAACAAACAACTTCAACAGAGCCGGAGACAACACAAGAGACAACACAGGAGTTTACCACTTCTGATTCTCCGACCACTTCAACTACATCAACAACAACCAAAGAACAAACAACTTCAACAGAGCCAGAGACAACATAGGAGACAACACAGGAGTTTACCACTTCTGATTCTCCTACCACTTCAACTACATCAAAAACAACCCCAGGACAAACAACTTCAACAGAGTCGGAGACAACACAGGAGACAACACATTAGCCTACCTCTTCTGATTCTCCTACCACTTCAACTACTCAACAACAACCCCAGAACAAACAATTTCAACAGAGCCGGAGACAACACAAGGGCCCACCACAGGAGTTTACCACTTCTGATTCTCCGACCACTTCAACTACATCAACAACAAACAAAGAAAAAACAACTTCAACAGAGCCAGAGACAACACAGGAGACAACACAGGAGTTTACCACTTCTGATTCTCCTACCACTTCAACTACATCAAAAACAACCCCAGGACAAACAAATTCAACAGAGTCGGAGACAACACAGGAGACAACACATTAGCCTACCTCTTCTGATTCTCCTACCACTTCAACTACTCAACAACAACCCCAGAACAAACAATTTCAACAGAGCCGGAGACAACACAAGAAACAACACAGGAGTTTACCACTTCTGATTCTCCGACCACTTCAACTGCATCAACAACAACCAAAGATCAAACAACTTCAACAGAGCCAGAGACAACACAGGAGACAACACAGGAGTTTACCACTTTTGATTCTCCTACCACTTCAACTACATCAAAAACAACCCCAGGACAAACTACTTCAACAGGGCCGGAGACAAAACAGGAGACAACACAGGAACCTCTCTCTTTTTATTCTCCTACCACTTCAACTACATCGACAACAACCCAAGAACAAACAACTTAAACTGAGCCGGAGACATCACTAGAGACAACACAGGAGTTTACCACATCTGATTCTCCTACCACTTCAACTACATCAACAACAACCCAAGAACAAACAACTTCAACAGAGCCGGAGACAACACAGGAGACAACACATGAGCCTACCTCTTCTGAAACTCCGACTACCCCAACGTCCTCACAAACAACCCTGGAACAGACATTTCCAAAAGAGCCGGAATCAACGCATGATACTACCTCCTATGATTCCCCTATCACTACAACGAATTCAAAATCTACCCCCCCCCCCCAACAAACTACTTCTACAGAACCGGAAAAAACGCAGGAGCCTACCATTTGTGGTTGTTATACCACTACATCGACAACAACCCAAGAACAAACAACTTCAACAGAGCCGGAGACAACACAGGAGACAACACATGAGCCTACCTCTTCTGAAACTCCGACTACCCCAACGTCGTCACAAACAACCCAAGAACAAACAAGTTCAACAGAGCCGGAGACAACACAGGAGACAACACAGGAGTTTACCACTTCTGAATCTCCTACCACTTCAACTACACCAACAACAACCCCAGAACAAACAACTTCAACAGAGCCGGAGACAACACAAGATACAACACAGGAGTTTACCACTTCTGATTCTCCGACCACTTCAACTACATCAACAACAACCAAAGAAAAAACAACTTCGACAGAGCCAGAGACAACACAGGATACAATTACACAGGAGTTTACCACTTCTGATTCTCCTACCACTTCAACTTCATCAAAAACAACCCCAGGACAAACTACTTCAACAGAGTCGGAGACAACACAGGAGACAACACATTAGCCTACCTCTTCTGATTCTCCTACCACTTCAACTACTCAACAACAACCCCAGAACAAACAATTTCAACACAGCCGGAGACAACACAAGAGACAACACAGGAGTTTACCACTTCTGATTCTCCGACCACTTCAACTACATCAAAAACAACCTCAGGACAAACTACTTCAACAGGGCCGGAGACAAAACAGGAGACAACACAGGAGCCTCTCTCTTTTTATTCTCCTACCACTTCAACTACATCAACAACAACCCAAGAACAAACAACTTCAACAGAGCCGGAGACAACACAGGAGACAACACATGAGCCTACCTCTTCTGAAACTCCGACTACCCCAACGTCCTCACAAACAACCCTGGAACAGACATCTCCAAAAGGGCCGGAATCAACGCAGGATACTACCACCTTTGATTCCCCTATCACTACAACGACTTCAAAATCTACCCCCCAACAAACTACTTCTACAGAACCAGAAACAACGCAGGAGCCTACCATTTGTGGTTGTTATACCACTCCAATGGTAACGACCCAAGAACAAACTACTTCAACAGGGCCGGAGACAAAACGGGAGACAACACAGAAGCCTATCTCTTCTGATTCTCCTACCACTTCAACTACATCGACAACAACCCAAGAACAAACAACTTCAACAGAGCCGGAGACAACACAAGAGACAACACAGGAGTTTACCACTTCTGATTCTCCGACCACTTCAACTACATCAACAACAACCAAAGAACAAACAACTTCAACAGAGCCAGAGACAACATAGGAGACAACACAGGAGTTTACCACTTCTGATTCTCCTACCACTTCAACTACATCAAAAACAACCCCAGGACAAACAACTTCAACAGAGTCGGAGACAACACAGGAGACAACACATTAGCCTACCTCTTCTGATTCTCCTACCACTTCAACTACTCAACAACAACCCCAGAACAAACAATTTCAACAGAGCCGGAGACAACACAAGGGCCCACCACAGGAGTTTACCACTTCTGATTCTCCGACCACTTCAACTACATCAACAACAAACAAAGAAAAAACAACTTCAACAGAGCCAGAGACAACACAGGAGACAACACAGGAGTTTACCACTTCTGATTCTCCTACCACTTCAACTACATCAAAAACAACCCCAGGACAAACAAATTCAACAGAGTCGGAGACAACACAGGAGACAACACATTAGCCTACCTCTTCTGATTCTCCTACCACTTCAACTACTCAACAACAACCCCAGAACAAACAATTTCAACAGAGCCGGAGACAACACAAGAAACAACACAGGAGTTTACCACTTCTGATTCTCCGACCACTTCAACTGCATCAACAACAACCAAAGATCAAACAACTTCAACAGAGCCAGAGACAACACAGGAGACAACACAGGAGTTTACCACTTTTGATTCTCCTACCACTTCAACTACATCAAAAACAACCCCAGGACAAACTACTTCAACAGGGCCGGAGACAAAACAGGAGACAACACAGGAACCTCTCTCTTTTTATTCTCCTACCACTTCAACTACATCGACAACAACCCAAGAACAAACAACTTAAACTGAGCCGGAGACATCACTAGAGACAACACAGGAGTTTACCACATCTGATTCTCCTACCACTTCAACTACATCAACAACAACCCAAGAACAAACAACTTCAACAGAGCCGGAGACAACACAGGAGACAACACATGAGCCTACCTCTTCTGAAACTCCGACTACCCCAACGTCCTCACAAACAACCCTGGAACAGACATCTCCAAAAGGGCCGGAATCAACGCAGGATACTACCACCTTTGATTCCCCTATCACTACAACGACTTCAAAATCTACCCCCCAACAAACTACTTCTACAGAACCAGAAACAACGCAGGAGCCTACCATTTGTGGTTGTTATACCACTCCAATGGTAACGACCCAAGAACAAACTACTTCAACAGGGCCGGAGACAAAACGGGAGACAACACAGAAGCCTATCTCTTCTGATTCTCCTACCACTTCAACTACATCGACAACAACCCAAGAACAAACAACTTCAACAGAGCCGGAGACAACACAAGAGACAACACAGGAGTTTACCACTTCTGATTCTCCGACCACTTCAACTACATCAACAACAACCAAAGAACAAACAACTTCAACAGAGCCAGAGACAACATAGGAGACAACACAGGAGTTTACCACTTCTGATTCTCCTACCACTTCAACTACATCAAAAACAACCCCAGGACAAACAACTTCAACAGAGTCGGAGACAACACAGGAGACAACACATTAGCCTACCTCTTCTGATTCTCCTACCACTTCAACTACTCAACAACAACCCCAGAACAAACAATTTCAACAGAGCCGGAGACAACACAAGGGCCCACCACAGGAGTTTACCACTTCTGATTCTCCGACCACTTCAACTACATCAACAACAAACAAAGAAAAAACAACTTCAACAGAGCCAGAGACAACACAGGAGACAACACAGGAGTTTACCACTTCTGATTCTCCTACCACTTCAACTACATCAAAAACAACCCCAGGACAAACAAATTCAACAGAGTCGGAGACAACACAGGAGACAACACATTAGCCTACCTCTTCTGATTCTCCTACCACTTCAACTACTCAACAACAACCCCAGAACAAACAATTTCAACAGAGCCGGAGACAACACAAGAAACAACACAGGAGTTTACCACTTCTGATTCTCCGACCACTTCAACTGCATCAACAACAACCAAAGATCAAACAACTTCAACAGAGCCAGAGACAACACAGGAGACAACACAGGAGTTTACCACTTTTGATTCTCCTACCACTTCAACTACATCAAAAACAACCCCAGGACAAACTACTTCAACAGGGCCGGAGACAAAACAGGAGACAACACAGGAACCTCTCTCTTTTTATTCTCCTACCACTTCAACTACATCGACAACAACCCAAGAACAAACAACTTAAACTGAGCCGGAGACATCACTAGAGACAACACAGGAGTTTACCACATCTGATTCTCCTACCACTTCAACTACATCAACAACAACCCAAGAACAAACAACTTCAACAGAGCCGGAGACAACACAGGAGACAACACATGAGCCTACCTCTTCTGAAACTCCGACTACCCCAACGTCCTCACAAACAACCCTGGAACAGACATTTCCAAAAGAGCCGGAATCAACGCAGGATACTACCACCTATGATTCCCCTATCACTACAACGACTTCAAAATCTACCCCCCAACAAACTACTTCTACAGAACCGGAAACAACGCAGGAGCCTACCATTTGTGGTTGTTATACCACTCCAATGGTAACGACCCAAGAACAAACTACTTCAACAGGGCCGGAGACAAAACAGGAGACAACACAGAAGCCTACCTCTTCTGATTCTCCTACAACTTCAACTACATCGACAACGACCCAAGAACAAACAACTTCAACAGAGCCGGAGACAACACAAGAGACAACACAGGAGTTTACCACTTCTGATTCTCCGACCACTTCAACTACATCAACAACAACCAAAGAACAAACAACTTCAACAGAGCCAGAGACAACTCAGGAGACAACACAGGAGTTTACCACTTCTGATTCTCCTACCACTTCAACTACATCAAAAACAACCCCAGGACAAACCAATTCAACAGGGCCGGAGACAAAACAGGAGACAACACATTAGCCTACCTCTTCTGATTCTCCTACCACTTCAACTACATCAAAAACAACCCCAGGACAAACAACTTCAACAGAGTCGGAGACAACACAGGAGACAACACATTAGCCTACCTCTTATGATTCTCCTACCACGTCAACTACTCAACAACAACCCCAGAACAAACAATTTCAACAGAGCCGGAGACAACACAAGGGCCCACCACAGGAGTTTACCACTTCTGATTCTCCGACCACTTCAACTACATCAACAACAACCAAAGAACAAACAACTTCACCAGAGCCAGAGACAACACAGGAGACAACACAGGAGTTTACCACTTCTGATTCTCCTACCACTTCAACTACATCAAAAACAACCCCAGGACAAACCAATTCAACAGGGCCGGAGACAAAACAGGAGACAACACATTAGCCTACCTCTTCTGATTCTCCTACCACTTCAACTACATCAACAACAACCCCAGAACAAACAATTTCAACAGAGCCGGGGACAACACAAGAGACAACACAAGAGTTTACCACTCCTGATTCTCCCACTACTTCAACTACATCAAAAACAACCCCAGGACAAACAACTTCAACAGAGCCGGAGACAACAGAGGAGACAACACAGGAGCCTACCACTTCTGATTCCCCTACCCCTCCGCAATTAACAACCCACAAACAAACTAGTACAAAAGAGCTAGAGACAACATTGCCCTTACAACAAAAAAACCATGGAAGTACCATCCTTGCGGTACCATGGTTATCATGGTTCTCATGGTGGATGGTAATTTGGACAAAGAACCATGGTAACCATGGTAGCCATGGTACTGAAAACCATGGTAACACCGAAGTATGATAACCATGGTTCAGTGTTAACATGGTGTTCGGTACATGGTTCTCCCATACCATTCGTTACCATTGTTCTCCTGTACCTAGGTTGCCATGGTATTTGTACTATAATGTTACTGCACGTACCCAGTCGCCTTTCCATTATGCATGTACCGTAGCTTAATAAAAAGAAAGCATTGATTACATTGCATGATTGATTTTTTGTTATCATTTACAAATCTACTACCTTAATTAAGCACTTTCAACACAGTATTCCTCATAATATCTGCCAGCCCTTGATCATTTAACTTTGAAAGAACATGCTGGCCTGCAAAGTAGACACAAAAATGACAGGAGCTGGCATGAAGTCCACTTTCAGCACAATTATCCATATTCTCAAGGTTTAGCCACTACTCTCGCAAACATCACCTGTTAACAAAAGACATCACAATAATAATACTAACTAGATTTGTAATACTTGTTTGGTACAAGTATAGGTGGGCTGGTCCAGCTAAAATTTTAGACAAAATGAAGGGCACATTTGAGATAGCTAATTGTCTCAGCTACATCATACTCAAAGTTCAGCGTAAACGAAGCTAAAACGACGGAGATATTGCTCGCGAAAGACGGGAATGTAGAATCCAGTTTTGAGAAAAAGTCATGTCCCATAGAGAATACACGCAAAATGTGAAAAATTGACATGCCTCCTTTAATCGCAAAAAAATACGCCATGATGCCTATGCCAAAATGAAGGATCGTAGTCACTTTATTTGTAGAGAATTGTCTCAGCTAAAATATGTACAAATTTTAAAGAAAATCGATCAATATCTACAGAGAAACAATCAATTTTCCGTAAATATGCTGACGTCATAATATGCAAATTGGAATGTTGAGTTCGGAGGCTATTATGATGACGTCATGAGTTAATTGAGGGTCAAATGAGACATGAACAAATATCTCCGAATCATACTCTATCAAAATATGAAAACAAATTGGGGTCACCTTGCATCCTAAAGAGCTACAATGGATTTTGTATGGGCATGTTTTTGCCCATATATACTATGTATTACAAGAGCTCGCGCGCACAGAAATTTATGTTAAACGGTCGATCATTCCGTTATTAATAGTCATAAAGAGACAAACATGGTATCAATTTGTTCTTAAAAATATGTGGAATATTATGAAAGAAAAAAAAGGAGATTCTATGTTGTGTAATAGTTTTACGCGCGAAACCGCGCGCGCAACGCGCGCGCATGCGCGTGTGCGCGATTTTTTTATCA